CGAGGGCAGTGGCAACACGGCAAACCTGTCGGTGCATCAGACCCAGGGCAGTGGTGATGGGGCAAGGCGAGTGGTACCGCAGCCCTGGGGCAGTGGTGATGCTGCAAAGCTGTCGGTGCAGCAGCCCCAGAGCAGTGGCGATGGGGCAAACCTTTCGCTGCATCAGCCCCGGGGCAGTGGCGATGGGACAAACCTCTCGGTACAGCAGTCCCGGGTCGGTCGCGGCCCGCACGGAGCTCCCGCCCCGCCTGTCCCCGCGTGGCGCAGCCGCACACGGCGGAGGAGGAGGAAGAGGAGGAGGAAGAGGCGGCGCTGGCCATGTTGGGTGTGGGCAGGCACAGACCGCAGCTGTTTGCTGCTGTTTATTACTGCCTAGCAGAGCTCAGCGCCAAGTCGTGTCGTGTCACGCACATTAACCTTCCGTGGCTGTAAAATCTGAGTAGTCCCTTGAGAGTGAAATTCAAAAGATGCTCGCAGTTCGGCTCCTGCTCTCAGCACTCTGCAGTGCCCACATTGTCCCTTCTCAGCAGCCCTGGGTGGTGTTGCTGCTGGTGTTGGTGTTGTCACTGCCACTGTTGTCCCTCTCTCAGGAGCCCTCAGTGTCCATGCTATCCCTCTCAAGAGTTCTCTGTGTTGGTGTTGTCCCTGTCTCAGGAGCCCTCACAGTGCAGGTGTTGTCCCTCTCTTAGGAGCTCTCTGTGTTGGTGTTGTCCCTCAGGAGCTCTCTGTGCTGGTGTTGTCCCTCTCTCAGGAGCCCTCAGTGTCAGTGTTGTCACTGCCCGTGGTGTTCTCCCAGTCAGCCTCATGTTGTCGCTCCTTTGGTGCTCTCCTCACTGCTCTTTTCCTGCAAACAAGACTAGACATATCATTTTCAGAAGCTCTTTCCTGCAAACAAGCAGCATTTCCATGCTGTGGAGAGTTCAGGGGGATGTTTAGTATGTCTCAGTCCATTTTGGTTTTGGTTTTATGGCTTCCAAAATGAAGCTTGGGGACAGGGAATGCAGGAGTTCTCTGTGTTAGTGTTGTCCCTCAGGAGATCTCTGTACTGGTGTCCCTCTCTCAGGAGCTCTGTGTTGGTGTTGTCCCTCAGGAGCTTTCACAGTGCAGGTGTTGTCCCTCAGGAGCTCTCTGTGCTGGTGTTGTCCCTCTCTCAGGAGCCCTCAGTGTCAGTGTTGTCACTGCCCGTGGTGTTCTCCCAGTCAGCCTCATGTTGTCGCTCCTTTGGTGCTCTCCTCACTGCTCTTTTCCTGCAAACAAGACTAGACATATCATTTTCAGAAGCTCTTTCCTGCAAACAAGCAGCATTTCCATGCTGTGGAGAGTTCAGGGGGATGTTTAGTATGTCTCAGTCCATTTTGGTTTTGGTTTTATGGCTTCCAAAATGAAGCTTGGGGACAGGGAATGGAGAGGAAAGGGGGAATATAACCAGCCCAGCAGCTGAGACACAGGGTTGGGGTAGGTTAGCCCTGCTCACTGCAGCCCAGACCTTCGGTAACGCTCGAAACAGTCCTTCATCCTCCTCCTCTCCTTGTCTGCAGCCTCCTCGGGGGCTAAGCCACACTCCTTGAACTGCAAGAAAAACATCCAAACAAATGTCAACTGGATTCCCTCAAAGATCTGATCAGAGTTAGCCCCAGGTAGCTTCCTGCATCTGCTTGGGCCTGCAGAATTAAGCACTGCGTGTTCATGTCTGGGCTGTCCCTTGCTGTGTGTGCAGGATGGGTATGCCTAGAGTTTTACCATCTCTATTCCCTCACATTGATAAATTTGGGATTCTGTTTCCTGTACCAATAGTAATCCTGGAGACAGTTAAACTAAAAAATATCCACACAGAGATCATAGAATCATCAGGGTTGGAAGAGATCTCTAAGATCATTGAGTCCAACCATTAACCTGTCACTGCTGGAACCCCTGAACCATCTCCTCCAGTGCCAGATCCAAACACCTCTTAACACCTCCAGGGATGGTGACTCCACCACCTCCCTGGGCAATATTCCACTGCCTGACCAACCTAACAGGGAAAACATTTTTCCTAACATGTAATCTGAATCTTCTCTGTCTCAGCTTGTGGCCATTCCCTCTAGTCCTCAAGATGAAGGACAGAAAGTAATTAGGAGAAGTTTCTCTGCACAGATGGAGAAATAACCACCGTAAGTGTTCTGCTATTCAGAGCTCACCCTTCCTGGAGAGTGAATTGCACACACAGTGCTCAGGTTTTGAAAAGCTGCTCAATCCATCATCAGTGAAAACATTAAAGATCCCAAACCCCAGTTAGTGAGCCCACAAAGAGTCTCTTACACGTGGTGACTGTGGGGGCAGAGTGCTCTCTGGAGTGCTGAGTTCCTGCTTTTGTCCTTCAGGGAAATCCTCTGAGAGATGGAAAAAAATCACAGTGTTACTCAGAGTTGCCACTGCGAAGTCACTTCTCCCTCCACCAGTTCACCAGACAGAAGAGCTGTGATGCAACACCTGCCTAGCAGAACTGAAAACAACCCCAAGTGCTCAGGGTCCTGTGATCAATGCACAAGGCATTTCTCCTCTCACTCCAGCCCTGGGTCTTGCTTAGGCTGATGGAGCTCCTCATCCCACTCAGCAACAGGCAGAGCTTTCAGTTTCTGCTTATGCAGGCGCAAAACAAACCTTTGCCAAGCAGCACCTCTGCTCAGCATCATTAAAAAAAGAATCAGGTCACAAGAAATCCATCTGAACCATAATTTGTCCCTGTTCTCCAGGTTGTACACATCAAGGCACTTCACATCAGACCATATTTGGGTGAAACTCCTGATGTTGTGATGCTTTTTTTTTTTTTAACCAAGCAAGGTAGAATAATAAAAGTCTTTATGGCCTAGTGTTGTTTAGCTTTTGGGAAAACTCTCCCATCCCAATGAATGAAAAAATCATTTAGATCTTCCGGGAGAACAAATCAGAAAATTTCTTCTACTGTGTCAGTTTCCTTCCTTTCTCAACCTGTTTTGAAAGACAATTTCAAGGGCTGAGGGGCCTATGAATTCCTTTCCACACTGCTGAATCATTTCCACTGGGGATGCCACAGAAACAGAAGCAGTGACAGCACTCACTACATGGTTCTGCTTTTGTGAGAGCAGCCTGCAGCATAAAAGGGAAGAGGGGAGGGAAAATCCCTGGAGAAAGACACATGGTCCAGCTGAAGTGGCAGGATGTTTGTTCTGTTCTAAGCCACAAATGCCAGAGGGACAGGGGGAAAGGTACCCAGGAAGTATTTCTCAAAGGCACCAGGTGATTTTTGCTGGACAAATGCAGGAGATAGATTACCTCAAAGAAAAGACTCGAGGTCCTGGGATGGTCTAATGACACTTTTCCCAGGTCATTCAGCCATATCTAAGACCCTTTTAGAGACCATGTGGTAAAAAGAGCCTGGGGAACTGCTTCTCTCTGAAAAGCTTTAAAAACATTCCCTGTTCCCAGCACCTGGGGACAAGTTCTCCTTTGTATAGGTGACAGGGATGGTGTGTGGCAGAATGTCTTAATTTACAGGGAATCATCTCAAGGAGGTCTTAGAGTGCCTAGCACACCCCACTGAAAGGCATCTTTAACAGAGTCCCCAGTCAGACCAGCTAAAAATAAACCCCAGGAATGTCTTCCTTTCCCTTTGAAACACTGGACCATCCTCTCTAGAACTCCACTCTGGTTTCCCAAGAACAGCCTTACTTTTAGTCAGCTGTGTATCTTCATCCAGGTGACTGTGAGGAAGAGTAAGCTGTGGGACAGAAACAGAGCAAGAACATGAGAACTGTCAGTCTGTAGGAACAGATAAAGGAATACAATGAACTGGACATGTCAGAACTGACCTTTCCCTGGTGCACATTGCTGTCAGCAAACAGCAGAGTGAGCCAGAACTTACAGATTTACTCATGGATTTATCCTCCATGAAGAGATTCAGCTCCTTTGGCCTCCAATGTGACAATCACTCCCACTCTGATGTTTTGAACTAAGTGACACTCTTTACTACAGATGACCCCAGGGTAAGACTTATTTTTGCTTGTTCCCCCACAGGAGAGGCAATTAGAAGCCATTCAAAATAATTCAAGTCCATTGATTTGCTTAGACTCAGTGGATCTTGCTGACTAATGCCAGAAGTCTGTCCTACACTTAGAAACCTCAGGACATAGGGAGATTCCATCACTGTTTTGCTGCTTCTGTAGTTTTTGATGTCACTGAAATGAGCCGTGGATCAGAAACTGCTGATACTTGGGGAACTGAGAAATATGAAACCATCCCAGAATAAAGTAAAAAGTAAACAAGGCACCCCATTCACTTCCTGGGAATCTCTGGAGGATGCATCATCCAGGTCAGAGGTCTGAAACAAAACCAGAATGAATTAATCACTTCTTATAAGCAAGGAAGTGGCAGCAAGAAGACATACAGGAGACTGAGAGCTCCAGAAAACAGAGAAGTGTGGACTTCCTGCCTCCTACACTCCTGTCTGGCCCCTTGGAGAAAGCACACGTATTAATTAAACCCCCCTGTATTGCTAATTTAGTTCCAAAAAATTTAGCACCTTTACACCCTGTTCCCCATTTCACCCAAATGGCTCACACAGAGTTTCTAAACAGAGTTCCAAACAGACTTAATGGTTGAGGTTCCCTTTATCACCTTTGGAAATGCTCCAAACACACACAGAGGTGGCCTCCAGCTTATCCATGCCTTAGCCAGGGTGAGGCAACCATCATGTCTTTAATTCTCTCATAGAGAATGGCAATGGTTTTAATTCATTCTCATGGTTATCCAAGCAGGAGGTCACTGCCTGCTGCACTGGAGCTGGTCAGGGCCAAGGTGTCGGCACAGCCACACTCTGTGCCCATGCTCAGCCTCCCAAACCACCACAGGGGTGACATCCCCACAGCCATACCAGTGTGGGCAGCTCCAGCTGCAACCTTTTCAGCTTGGCTTCAGTGGCCAGTAACTGGGTCTCCTTCTGGAAGAGCTGCAGCTGCATTTCATCACACCTCTCCCCCAGCTCCCGGATCTGCTTGCGGTAAGCATCCCTCTCCACCAGGCTCTTGGAGTACTGCATGTGGAACTGCTCCCGGGTCAGCAGAGCCTGGAGAAAGGGACAACACGTGGCACATCACACAGCAGTGTGTGCCCACCCCAAGCAGCATTCCACGAGGAGTGCTTCCCACCTGGTCTCTTTCTGACACCACTTCCTCCATCTGCTGCAGCACAGCCTCAATCCGCTTCCTGTACATCTGGGAGTCCTTCCTCAGGGATGTGCACTGGAGCTCAAGCATCTCTTTTTCCTCTGCATACTGTGGAGACAAGGCCAAAAGCACTTGCTCGTGGGCAGAACCTGAGCTGGACTCTCACCCCTCCTGCTCTGGCCAAGACCTTAACAGTCTGAGTTGTTCCCTAACACTGACACTAAAATATTAACCTGCCTTTTCCCAACAAACACAGACACTGAAGGATTTCTGCTGAGCAGCTGCTCTGCTCCACAGGCAGGACAGGGCACTTCAGGTGCCTCACCTGCCTGTCTGACCCACAGACCCTCAGCAGGAGTTTGCACATCACATACTTTGTCCTGGAGCACCTCAGCTCGCCGCAGCTCCTTGCGCAGGCTGTAAATGGTGTTCACCAGCTCTCGACGTTCCTCCAGCAGCTGGCTGGAGTCATTCTCCACAGTCTCCTTGGAGAGGCTCTTCTCCAAATTCTGTTCCCTGGCAACCTGCTGGACAAAGGAAAAAGTAAGGTAACAGCCACCATCTAACTCCATGTCAACTCTTCCCCCCACAGTGCTCTGTTTGACTTGGGAGAACAAGACCCACGGAATCCTCACTGCAATCCCACTGCTAATCACTTCTCCCCAGTCCATCTTCACCCACCCCACCAACCTGGAGAGTGTTCTCCAGCTCCTGGTTCTTGGCCAAGAGCAACTCCTTCTCCTGCTGGATCTCCCACACCACCTCGTGGCTCGGGCGCTGCTCTATGGCATGTTTCAGCTTCATGGTGTGCTTACGCTCTAGCTTGCAGTCATCCTCAGCCTTCATCAGGCTGTGCTTCAAGTGATCAATCTACAAGAAGGTTCAGAGCTCATCAGGAGTGGGGAGAAAATTCTGACCTGCAAAAGCAGTTCCCTGGACAAACATGGGGCAAGTTTCTTCCCAGCTCTGTTTTCCTCAGGGGATTTGGTGCTCTGGGAACCAGAGTCCTGCCTGTGTGCTAACACATACAATGTGCTGTTGCTGTGCTGTTTTGAGAGCAGCTTTGAAGGAAGGGAGGACTGTTAAGTCCTCACAGCACAACTTGTGGGCCTACAGGGCTGAGCTAGGGACCACCAAGTCATGCCATTTGCTAGAGAAGGTGCTCAGTACTTCATGCTGGACTGATCCAGCCCATCCTGGGCAAAGATGAGGCTGGTGCACAGCCTTCCAGGGATCAGGAAAGAAGGAAGAAGCTGGAGAGATGTGTGACTGACCTCTAGGATCAGGGATCAGGTAAGAAGGAAGAAGCTGGAGAAATGTGTGACTGACCTCTAGGATCAGGTCCCGGTTCTTCATGAGGGCCGTGCTCTTCTCCTCGCTCTGCTTGGCATAGCTCATTGCCAGGTTGTAGTTCTCATCCTTGCACTTCCTCAGCTCCTTGCTCAGGCTATCCCTCTCCTCCTTCATCTTCTGTGCACGCTCCTGGTGCTTCTTTAGCAGGCTGTCCCTCACCCACATCTCCCTGATGGTGTCCTCCTTGGCGTGCAGCCACACCGTGAGCTCCTGTGCCTTGCGCCGCTCCTCCTGCACCACACTCTGCAGCTTCATGATCTCGTTCATCAGGAGCTGGCTCAGCCCAGACTCCCCTGCACTGTCTGTTTGGGGGGGCAGGTGTCAGCCACTGCTGGCCTGGCTGCTCCCAGACACAGCATAGGTTCCCCACACTCCTCACTGCAGCTTGGGATCAGCCCATGCCACACACCAGCCCCGAAGAGGTGTGATCAGGTCATCCCTGCTGTTTCCACCCTGCTCTGTGCCTTCCTCACTGACAGAACAGGCAGAAGGAAGAATTGATCCTTCTGCTTCCTCCTCCACCCTCCCCATCCCAGCCTGAGACACCAGGCTGGTTCTTCCCTTCCAAACCTTTTCTTCCCAGAACCCTTTCTGTTTGTGAGAACAGAACACATCACCTATAATCATGGAGAAAACCCTGCTGGGCTCCTTGCCCGTTATCTTCTTGTACAGCTGTGGATAATAAAGCTCAAGACTCTCCATAAATGCCTCAAAGCCTTTGTGTCCTGTTCGCTGGAGGATGTCCAGAAGAACACCTGAAACCACAGGATATTCTATTCAGTCACTTATGTCTTTACCTATTTCCAACATAACAAAAAATAGCTCCACTTGGTCCACATAGAAAAGATCAAATCCCCCAGGACAATCCTAACCCAACTGTAAGTAAACAGAAATATTTCAACTGTTCCAATCTGCTCCAAGAGCTGACAGAGCACAGGAGCATCCCTGGCTGCACCCACCTGCCTTCCTCTTACGCATGACCAGGCTGGGGTCGTTGAGGATCTGCTCCTCATCATCAGGGCTGATCACCCTGCACTGCCTCAGGTAGGGAGTTATACGGGAAGGGTCTATCACAGAGATCAGCTTCACTCGGAAGTTCTCCAGGTTATTCCAACAGATCTCATCGTTATCTTCTTCCAACATGTTGGTGCTGAGAAGTATCAGGGAGTACTGGTGTCCTGTCTGAAAAAAACCCCACCAGAAAACAGTCAGACTCTGAGCCCTCTCTCAACAGCCTTTGCTGTGTTCACCTGTAACCAGACAAAGATTTTTCTGCATGCTGTACCTTATCCATACACAGCTCTCAGTGACTTCCACTGTATACCCAGAGGTAAAAATCAGCACCAGCAAACCCTGACATCAACCTCAGAGATTCCTCCTGTGCAGCTTCAGCTATTTATACTTACAAACAGCAGCAGGTTACCAGAAATGCCTTTGCTGGTTGCTGAACCTCCATCCTTACATCAGAGCTGTAAAATAAATGTTTTCCCTGTTCATACAAACCATTCTGCATTACATGGACCAACCTGAGCCTATGCAGTCACAAAAGTCTCCTTGTTTCCCCTCCTGTGTCCTGGCTCTGAGAAAACTTGCCTTGGGTGCAGCCTCCCTTTATATTCTGTCTAGGGCAAAGCTCATTCCAGGAAGAAAACTGGTTTGAGAAGAGAGAAAAGGGGAAACTACTCAGCTATACTCCGAGATGGGAAAAGGGAGGGGAGGAAAACAAGAGACAAAAGGGGAACCAGAATGGGTGATGAGGGAGGAGAAAAATGGTAGTGGCATTGTGAGTCAGCAGCAACACACACAGAGTGATTTTAGGTTGATTCTGGCTTTGTTTTCCAATCTGTGCCACTGAAGTAGCTGCAGAGGTGCAGAGATTTTCCTTGTGTGGTGGTCAAAAAGTCACAGGCACAGGTCTGTGCAGCTGATTTCAGGGGACAAAATAAGCCACAGTTAGAAGAAAGAGGATGTTCCAGGGCCTTCTAGTTGTTAACTTGTATAACCAGGAGAGCAGGTGGCAGCAAGGACTCACTGAGCTGAAAAGAATGATTTCTATAATGATGCCTCTAATTTTGGATGTCCTCAAGTACAACGATGACAACTCAGTATTTTGAGGGAAAGATAGTCCTGGCAGAGCAAAGAACATAACCCACGATTTCCAAATCACAGGCTGTGGCTCTGGCAGCAATACAAAGAAAGTGCAGTGCAGCAGCAGCACTGGGAGGATGCTGAGCATCAGCATGAGACCTGTGCCTGCCTCCCCACCTTCCCCCAGTCCTGGAGCTGCAACAAGAACTCAGTCTTAGAAAAGCCTCAAGAACACACAGGCTCCGATGCCATGGCAGCATGACACATATTCCCATTAGCTTCCCACTCCACTCTTTGTTCTGCTTGCTAAGTTTGTGGAGAGCTTTTCCATGTTATCATTAGGAGTGGGGCAGAGATGCTCAGGGATTCTTTCAGCCTGTGCTTCTTGTTAGGCATGAAATTAGCTTTACATTAAGAAAAGCTACAGTACCTGTGTTTGCTGTGCCTTTGCTGAGGATAATCAGTGTCTGCTAATTGACCAACCTGGTTTGTGTTGTACAGTGACAGTTTAATCCTGAAAAAGGACGAAGATTCTTATACAGGTTTTCCACAGATTGCAAGGGAATCTCCCGAGCAGCATTTGCAAAGGAGAACCCTCACTGAGAGCACAGATCACCTTTGCTTCCAGTGCCTCCCTGTAAGAGCCTGTGGATAGCACCCAAAACTGCTGGGAGCAGCACCCTAAAGTGCTGTGAGCAGCACCCAGAGCTGTTCAGCAGCTTCTGCCCCAGCTGAATGTCTTGGGAAAATGTAACCTCTGCTTATGGAAACCAGAGGACACTGCAAAAGTATCCACAATCATCCCTGTTACTCCATAATGTCTTGACACCCATTTACAGCAGCATTGGCACCCACTGTCCCCCTGAGCTGAAACAACACAACTCACCTCTACCCTCAGGGGGAGCTTAGTGCAGGGGAATGAAGCTTCACAGCACTTTGCCACTAGATTTTATCAGCTTTGCCTCAGCTAGCCTTGTACCTCTCTGTGACACAGAAAATTGTTGTTTATAAATGAAGAAACAAGTTTTTCTTAAGTGACTTGCTGATGTCTGTACAGGGCAGACTGTGGAAGCATCAAGAAAGAATCCAAACCTACTTCAATCCTGCATTTTTAGCCACATGAATATTCATTTCCCACATTCTCCCTGGGTTTCATGCAGCTTGCAAACTTCATTTTCCTCATTAGCAATCACACTCATACACACATTATTAAAAGCACTATTTACCAGGAACAAAAAACACACAGAATACAGCACTATTTTTTTTTAAGTGAGAAAAATAAAACATCTGTATTTCAACAAATACTCCAGACTCATTTTGATACAAAATTAATCTGCTGCTTATCCAGCAGGATTCAGTTAGCAAGCAAAGCCACTGGCACAACACTAAAAACACCCAATTAACAACAGATTCTGAACATGGATAAATGTTAAGATAAATAGGGGCTAACACAAAAAGGAAATAAATAACCAGCATTGCTAGATTCTCCAAATCTGCAGCAATCTGCTCCCCTGGTTTCTATGGCAGGTGAGAGTTTGAGAGAGCAGAATTGGTCCATGCCTGAAGGATTTCTCTCCAGCCATTTTCCTACATTGTTTGCACCATGCCTATGGGTTGTGTTGGGAACACCAGTCCAAGCCATTTTCCTCTTCCCCAGGTCTGTCTGGTTGGTGTGGTGAAGTGATGAAAGTGAACAGTGCAAAGAGTATCTCCTCCTGCCACGTGGGAAGGCAGAGCTTATTCAGTGACCCCTGGAACAAAGCACAGACAGCTCCTGTCACTCACAGTATTTTTAGAGACAAGTTGCCCTTTTGCAGTTTCCAACATGAATTTTAAAGAAAAACCCTAAAAGCCTCAACAGATACTAAGACATCACACTTGAATCCTACAGAAACCTGTTATACCCGTAGAGAAATGAAGTCATATAGGGCGGAAAAAAACCCAAACACCACAAAGTGGTTCAAAGAGTTTATCATAGCATGTTAAGGGGTTGGAATGGAGCTCAGAGATCATCCAGCTCCAACTCCCTGCCCTGGGCAGGGACATCTCCCACCAGAGCAGATTGTTCAAGGCTTTAGCCAACCTGGCTCTGAACACTGCCAGGGTTGGGGCAGTCACAGCCTCCCTGGGCAACCTGTGCCAGTGTCTCACCACCCTCACAGGGAAACAGATGAAGTGTTAAAGACAAATTCCAGTGAGGCAGCCACTGGCAGCCAAGCTCTACCAGCTCAGGACAATACTAGCAGAGAGTGTATGGACTAAAAGGTTCCTAAATGGTAGAACTTCATGACTTTTGTATGTCATTTTATCCCACAGACGTCAGTGAAAGACAAGTGTCAGCCTTAGGCTATGATTAATGGTGACTGTAGAACTCTGTGTCCTCAGAGGACAAGAGCAGAGACAATTTCAGTCTTTCCTGGGGTCATGATTCATTGTCTGCCTGAACCACAGAAAAATGTGGTTCAGTTCTCATCTCAGGCAAGAAATACAGATCAGTGAGTAGCTACTAACACATTTCCTTCTCACATCCTCCTCCTTTTCTTCCTGCAGCGAGCACTCCTCCTGACTTGAGGAGCACTGGCATCAGCCCCATCAGTGCAGGACTCCAAGGCAGACTGTGCAGAGTTCTCTCCAGCCCTCAGGCCCTGCAACAGAAGCAGATGATCAGCATTGTGAGGCTTAGCAGAATTCCAAACAACCCTTCAGACATCTTTTTATTTTAGAACAATCTGCCATTTGCCCTCAAAATGGAACATGGGACAGTATTCTACCACCAGTGACAGAACAAACAAAATCACATAGTTTTCAAAGCAAAACCTTCAGTCAACACTGAAATTTCCTCCTGTTTCTGCTACCCAAGAGTAGTTCCTGCTGTTGGTTGTGTCTGGGCACAACTGCCCATGACAGAGGCTCTGGGCACAAGCATTTGGTAGAGGTTGGGTGCCTGGTACAAGTGACACTTTAGCTCCCACTGCTGGAACCAGACAGAGCCCCAAACAACATAGGTCAGCACCAGCTCCTGATTTCTCATGAAACACACACCTACCACAAACTTTTCTTGGAAAACCACCAGGAAAACCTCCTGGCTATAGCCTTAAACAAAGGAATGGGAAGGAGCCTGGAAGATGCCACGGGAAAGGGGTGGGCAGTAAGGTGAGCAGTTCAGGCAGGGATGAACTGCTGGTGACTTTTGGAGCATTGAGCTTGGCCTAGACCCCAAACCCAGAGCCAAACAGAAATACCTGCTGGGAAAGCTCTGAATTTTAGGCAGCTTTGCCACCTTTCTAGACAAACAGTCATTTACTGTGTTTATTCACCTTCATTAGTGTTTTGTTCATTTAATTTGGAGCCACTGGGAGTTAAAATCCAAGTCTGAGCTGCATAATTTCCTGGCACGTTCTGTAGGAAACAGTGCTGCAAACTAAATTTGGAGCAAATTTCTGCTACACTTAAGAACAGTGAGGGTTACCCCTGGATTCCAGGGCAATATTTATCTGGGAGGAACTCTGCTTTTAGCCCCTTGGCACCTCTGTCTTACCTGATTTAGTGCACCAGCATCCTTGTCTCCAGGCTCACCACCAGCTCTCCAATCCAACTGTACTCCTGGTAATTCATCCTCACAACTCTCTTCCTCAGACACTTCCTTCTCACTCTGCCACTCCTCTTCATCACTCTCCTCCTCATATTGCTTCCTGCTGGCTGACAGAGTTGTTGTCACTTTTGGAGGAGGCAGAGTTGCCAGGACAGCTGGGAGTGTGAAGGCTGCCAGGAATCTGGCTTTCAGC